GTGCACCTCCCGTGCACCTTCGGGGCCCGCGGCGGCAGGCCGTGAAGCCACTCGGGGCCACTTTCCTGCAGTGCTCGGCCCCCGCACGTCTGTTGCCCCCCGTTGCCGCCCGCTGGGCCCTCTCGGGCAGCATTCTGGGCTGGTTTTTCCCTCCCCCTCCCCAGCCCGTCCACGTCCACCGCATCCCCCATCCTTGAGCAGGGACCGACCGTCCCGGCATTCCTGTAGGCCTACAAAGAAAGGTTCTGAGAACATTCTCTGGTGGGCCTGCAGGCAGGCCAGGACGCGTCGCCACTGCTTGACATCCCTCGTCCCCAATTTCCCTCCCCAAACCCTTCCTCCCATCACCCCTCCCGTGCCCCCTCGGCGGCCTGCGACGGGCCCGTGCCTGGCCAGCCAGCTCTGGAGACCCGAGACAGCCTCGCCCACTGGAGGCCGGCCGAGAGCGATCGGAGACTCTGGGGAGGGAGACTTCGGTACGCCCCCCCAGATCCTTCAGCTCAGCGATCTGGCCCCTGAGCGTCTCCATGGCGACTGGGGGGGCGAGGATTACTGAACGATCTCGGGTTGCGCATTCGGGGCCAGGCTCCGTCCGGCAAGAAGCACCGAAAGCAGCCACACCCCAAAATCTCTGGGCTGATCCCCTTCGGGGGTCTGCTAACCCAGGTCAATCCAAACCCGGGTCAGCAGGAAACCAAAACAGTGCAATGCAGGAAAAAACAACAACAACCAAAAAGAAGCTGCAACGCAGGGCTTCGCAAACCTGGGTCAGTCAATATGCGCAGCCGCCTCGCGGCAACGAGCGGCTCGCTAACCCAGGTCAGCCAGAGGGGGTGTTCGCAGGATCCTGCAGGATCCAGTGCCCTGGCTGACCCCTGTTTGCATTGACCCCCGTCTCTTGAGCCCCGACCCCTGGTCCCCTGGTCACGGCCACCGGCCACCACGGCCCAAAGCTTTCCAGAGGACTGGCAACCCGGAGTGCCAGACGACACCGGCCACCCTACCCGCCATCGAGAGTCTGCACGCGCTCGTTCCCCCCATCGGACTCAAGTCCCACCAGCCCTCCGGGCGCAGGTGGTCTAACGATGTCTAACGATGTCTTTCTTCCCTCTTCCAAAAACCCCTCTTCCATTCGGGGAGGGGTACCCTCTTCGGGGAGGGGTACCCTCCCCCTCCCCTCCCAGAAGCTTTTTGGGGGGGGGTCGCGAGGTGTCAGAAGGTCCGTTTTCGCCCGAGATCGCTCCAAGAGGGCCCCCGATGCTCCAGGATGGCCTCCAAGATGCCTCAAGATAGCTCAAGATCGCTCAAGATGACCTCCGTCTTGCCTCCAAGAGGCTCCAAGAGGGCCACAAGACAGTTCTAGGAGCTTTGGGGGACCCCTCAGGAGCTCCCCGAGAAGCCAAACTCCTTCAAATACCAAACAAACATCAATGCGGTTTTCCTTCTCGCCTTTTCGCTTCCGGTGCACTCCTCAAAATGGCCCCAAGATAGCCCAAGAGAGCTCCAAGAGGGTCCCAAGAGGCACCCAAGACGGCCTCAAGACCACCCAAGATCGACCCAAGAGAGGCCAAAGAGCGCCCCAAGAAGTTATTTTTAGGCCTCTTCAGGGGGGGGCATCGATAAAGGACCACCCCTCTTTTTGATCGATGGGCTCCAAGGCCCCAGGAGGCCCTCCGAAGCTCCCAGGAGAGCTCCAAGAGAGCCCCAAGAGGGCTCAAAGACCGCCCAACAGAGACCCGAGAGGACCCCAAGACCCCGTAAAAGAGCTTCAACAAGGCTCCAGGGGGGGGGAGGGGGGGGGAGCGAAAGCTGAGACCCCACATCCTTTGATCCATGCTCTCCAAAACTGAATCGAGTTTCTTCATTTTCGGCGATGACAGGCACCTCGGGGGGGGGCGAGGGGGGGGGGTATGACGTGACGCCCCCCCCCGCCCCGCCGTGAGACTCCGCGCCCGCGCCCGCGCGCACGACGACGATGAGCGACGCGCGACGAGCGACTAGCGACGACGACGACGACGACGACGACGACGACGACGACGACGACGCGAGTAGCATGTAGGTGGCGACCTGCCCCACAGCGCCTGCGTACACTATAATGCTCGCGTGCACTACAGCGCGTGTACACCACATCGCCCGCGTACCCCGCAGCATCTCCGTGCAACGCAGCATCTCCGTGCAACACAGTGCTTGCATGCACCACAGCGCCGGTGTACACCACAGCGAATGTGCACACCGCAGCAACCATGTGCAACACAGCGCCTGTGTACACCGCAATTCTTGCGTGCACCGCAGCGCCTGTGCACACCACGTCGCCTATCTACACCACAGCGTCCGCGTGCAACGCAGCGCTGGTGTACACACACAGCGCCTGTGTGCACATGACAGGTAGAAGGAGCATGTCGGTGAGGACTTGCTGCGGACAACTAAACGCCACGAAGGGCAAATGCTGATAATAAAATGCGACGTTCTTCTCTCCTCCCTCTTCCTCCACCTCCACCTCCTGTTCCTCCTCCTCCTCGTCCTCCTCCTCCTCCTCCCCCTCCTCCTCCTCTCGTCATCCTCCTCCCTCACCGTTCGTGCGGGTCGGCGCTACAGCGCACGTGCGCATCTTTGCGTGCACCGCAGAATGGTTTATTGAATAACTCCACTTGGTTCTCGGACGGCCAAATTTACAGGAACCTCCTGGACGCAGATGGGAGGAAGTAGGATGATGCGGGCGGACTCGTAGATTCCAGCGGCGCTCCTTTTTCCATGCGGAATCCAGTCCAAATCTTATATAAAACAAGTGTTTTCTGTGAAATCCACAGGCGCTCCATTTTGTCATGAAGATTATTTCGAAAATGTCATGTGCAACCGTGGTGCTCTGTTGCACAAAGTTGCTGTGGTGCACACAGGCGACGTGGTGTACACAGGCGCTGTAGTGCGCGCAGGCATTGTGGGGAACACTTGTGCTGTGCTGCACACGGCTGATGTGGTGTACGCAGCGCTGTGGTGTACACAAGCGCTGTGGTACTCGCAGGCACTGTGGCACACACTGGCGCTGTGTTGCACGCGGCTGCTGTGGTGTACATAGGCAGCGTGGTGTACACAGGCGCTGTGGTGCACGCAGGCACTGTGGTGTACACAGGCGCTGTGGTGCTACCCGTCCTCGGTCATTCCTAGACATTCCCAGATGCCGTTGGCGCGAAACCTGACGTCATCAGCCTCTTCCCCCCCCCAGATGATTGCCGCCATCGGCCCGGAATAAAAAAACAGGCTCCAACAGCGTCCGCGCGCACGACGATGATGAGCGACGAGCGACGAGCGAAGACGACGACCACGACGAAGACTGCTGACCAGACTCCTATGCGACATCTATGCGGATCTCGATGCGCACGGCGGCAGTGCCCGGAGCGCACTGGGGGGGGGAGCGTTACGTCGTAGGGGGGGGGGGGGCGGGGGCCATGACGCCCGTCATGCCCCGAGCAGTAAAAAAACACGCTCCTGCCCCAAGACGCTCTCCAAGACCAGACAATTCCCAAGAAGGCTGCTGGACGCAAGACCCGACACAAGAGCCCCAAAGGACCACAAGACCTCCGAAACAAGCCGCAAGGGGCCCAACAAAAGACCCCGAAGGAGCACCAATACCAGCAGCGCCAGCAGCATCACAAGCAGCAGCAGCGCCAGCAGCAGCAGCAGCAGCCGCACCACCACCGGAATCAGCGCCAGCACCAGCAGCAGTAGCACCACAAACAACAACACCAACACCAGTAGCACCACCAGCACCAACAGCACCAGCAACACCAACGCGAGCAGCTCTAGCACAAGAAAATTCCCAGCAAAGCTTCCAGACGCAAGACCCAACACAAGAGCCCCTAAGAGAACCACCGTACCTTCGAAACAAGCCCCAAAATAGACGGGACTCTTCCCTAGACTGGCTGCTTTAGGATGGGTTGGTGAGGACTCGCGAAGCGTAAACAAATCCCAAACCTGGGTCAAGATAGAAAAGGGGCTTCACTTGATCGGATCTAGCACCTCGCCTGATCAACCAGTCGACCCCGACCCTGGCGCGAGTGCTGGCAGGATCCCCTCGCCCTCCTGTTCCTGCTGCTGTTGTCGCTCCCCTTCAGCACGAGTGCGATAACACGAACACTGGAATGACGTAAAAATTAGTTGGTTGTCGCGCTGCCTATTTGGTGGTGTCCCATTTTTTGGTATTTACCACGCTTGAACCTGTCTCTACCCCGCTCCCCTCTCTCGTTTTCCGCTCCCCTTTCGGTATTATCATCGTACACTTTTTCTCTATGAACCTCACGGCTGACTTGCCCTGGACCTCACGGCTGAATTGCCCTAGGTGGCCTGCGTTCGTAAGAAGACGCCTGCATGTGCAGGGTTCGGCGCTTCTCCCCCAACGACGCTGGGACCAGAATTTCAACGGAAATACAGACGTGGCCATGAGAGACCTCGCGGAAGCTCCAAAAGGACGAAAAACACCCAAACGGCGATGAGGCGATGAGGCAGTTTTTCATGGGGATCCATGTGAAGCTGTCCTCGAAACCGACAGCGGCTCACAAGAGGCCGATGTTGGGGAAGCCGCCAGGGCCAACCAAACAAACCCTCTGGAGGTCTAACTCGCCTTCGCGCCCACCTGCGCGCGCATCCCGCCCCCCCCCCTCCCGGCTGTGGCGACAAGGGCGCTCCAGGAGGCCCCAGCCGACCAGCCACAACTGGGGGAGTTGTGGTCTTTACCCCCTCTGGGGGAACCCGTCGCATCGACGACCTCTCGAGAGGGGTGTCGAAATCGATGGGCCCCCCAGAGGGGGTAAGGACCACAGCTCCCCCAGTTGTGGCCGGCCAGGAAAGGCCCGACGCACCCAGAAAGTTCGAGCACCGATCCTCAGCCCTGCCCCCTGGTCCTGGGCCCCCCCCCCGCCGCCGCCCCCCCCCCTTCCCTCCTGGTCCCGGGCCGCCCCCCCCCCCTCCTGGTCCTGGGCCGCCCCCCCCCTCCGCCCCCCGCCCTCCCCCGAGGCTGGCCTGCGCCTTCGTCTTCGGGAAACCGTCGAGCACCCAGCCCTTGCGGATGCAGTCCGTCATGCTCAGCCTCCTGCGCCGGCGCCCCGCCGCGCTGCGGGGGCGAGGAGGTAGGGGGGAGGGAGAGGAGGGAGGGAGGGAAAGGAGGAGGGAGGGAGGGAGGGAGGGAGCACGGAGGGAGGACGGAGGGGGGAGAGGGACTCGACTCGACCCGACTCGCTCTGTGGCACCATGTTAGTTTTGTCTGAGAGTGCAAGCTTGGAAGATTGGCGCAGAGAAGATGCCCGTAGCGGTGGCTACCGGCAGACCCGGCGTGGCCCCACCACCGAGAAAGCCCGTCGGGGCGCATGCCCTGGGCCCCCCGGCTGAGGCTCGTGCAGCCATCGCAGCTCGCTTCAGCATGCGTGACAGAGCGTGGATGTGAAATGGAAGACCGGCAGCAGCAAGCGCAGAAGCCAGAGAAGAGGACGAAGGAGACAACAGGAGGAGGCAAAGACGAAGAGAACGAAGGGAGAGGGAGGGGGGAGAGAGAGAGAGAGAGGGCGGGGGGGAAGGGAGAGGGAGGGGGCGAGGGGGGAGGAAGGGAGTCGGCGGAGAAGGAGGGAGGCCGCCTCCCCTCGCCGCTTCAAAAACCCTCCGCGCTCGCGAGCAAGCTCTCTACTTCTTCGTGCTCGTTTCTCGAACCAGCCTCGAATTTATCCCTATCCCTAAGATTGGCAAGCCCAAAGGCCATGACAATCTTAGGGATGCACCCTCAAAAACTGAGGGGATTCTTCAAGATGGGCATCGAGTCACGGCGATGGCAATCATAAGGTAGAAGTATGCTTATGGCTGATTAGTATGTCTCCATCTCTCTCGTTCACTCTCTCTCTCTCTGACTCCCCATCTCTCTCTCTCTCTTAATCCCTATGTTTGGTGTATCTCTCTCTCTCTCTCTTGAGATCTGGAGTCTCGCCTCTCTATTACCGCGAGGATGCTGCGCAACTCGCTGTCGAGCCATAAAGGAGGGAGGAGGAACGACGAGGGAGGAGGGGGGAAGAAGCAGGAAAGCAAAGGGTGGCAACCCGCCAGTGGCAGTCACGGACATCAAGGGGAAACGCACAGGCGTCACTGTGATCTCGCGCCGCAGGAAACTGGCAGGAGGAAATAGGAGGAGGCGAAGCAGGAGACGCAGAAGAAGGCGAACGACAATTATGTGAAACAAGACACACTGCACAGGATAAAAAAAAGACATGAACACGATAATAAAAAAAACATATAGACGGAAGAACAAGGCAGAGGATACGGAGTAGGATAAGTGTCTTGAACATGGGGTGGCCTTGGAAAGGGATATTGAGGGAGAGGACAATGACAAGGAGGATCCAGCGACCCTCGCTTGCCGGTGGTGAGAAGGTATGTGCGATGATTGGCTTTCCTTCTCCCTCTTTCCCGATATCTGGGGGTCTATGATTCGTGTAAGCGGGGGACGAGCTGGTCCATGCATCTCCGCGCCCCTCGGAACCTTCAAATCTACCGCCCGTGGCATCCAAGATACCCAAGAATCATGGTAAGATGGTCCTCCAACATGCTTAAGAGGCCTCAAATACACCAAACATAGTCTAAAGACGGTCCAAGAGGCCCACAAGAGGCCCCCAAGAGGACCCCAAGAGGGCTTGAAGAGGTATTGCATGTTCTTGCATAGGCCTCTGTAAATGTTCGAGCTCTCGGCTTTGAGGTCTCCGTAAGCCTCAAGCGGAACACGAAGCCCCTCTCACACTGACCTGTGACGGCCAAACCAGTCCCCGAAAGGGAGGCCTGGAGCTCTGGGCTGCCAGCAGGTACCTCCAAAGAACCTTTCCTGGGCTGCCCATCGTCATCGATTTGGTCGTCGTAGTCGGAGGAGGAGGAGGAGGAGGAGGAGGAGGAGGAGAAGGAGGGAGAGGAGGAGGAGGAGGAGGGGGAGGAGGAGGAGGAAGGCGGAGGTTTTTCTGCAGCGTCCTCTGCGGTATCGGCGTTGGCCTCGGCAGCCCATGGGACCCTGGTGAACTTCGGTTTCTCAGACTGCCCGCCGCCGCTGCTGCCGCGGGGGAACGTGGTGAAGGACTTCTCAATCGCCGCAAGCCTCTTGCTCAGCTCGTCGGGCGGGGTCTTGGACTGGCGGGCGCCACCTTAAAGTTCCTTCTGAGACGACTCATCCCATAGTGCCTTCTGCTCCCACGCCTTCTTCTGGCTGCGATCAGGTGCCTCGTTGTCACAAACGTACCTGATGCGGTTCGCCCAGCTGGCGTTCGCGGCGCAGCGCCCGCATGCCCACGCGGGCCATCGCGGTAGTCAGAGGACCAGCGACTGCGCCGGAGCAGGCGCCATCGGGGGAGAGGAAAGCTGGCCACTGGCGGGAAGCGAATGGCCACTGTCGTGACAAAGGCGGTTCGCCCGCAGCAGCGCGCAGCCCGACTGAGGTGGCCGGACACTCCGAAGGTTGGCGCGGACTAGCTGCACCCGCGCTGTTCAAAGGGGAAACCAAAACCGCAAGCCAAAATGTCTACTGAGGAAGAAGAAAAGGGGGGAGGCGCGAGGACGAGGAGGAGGACGAGAAGTGGAGATCATACTGATTTACTCAAAACGAGAACCCAGCCAAGGGAGGGTTGGGAACAACCACCAACACCACCACAACAGAAACAGCAACAGCAACATCACCAACAACAACACAAATCATGTTAAAATTGTGCGTTCTGATCTGCTCGCGTGCCATTCGACGCCTATATCCCAAACCCTCGGCGCCCATCCTTGTCGTCTTCGATCGTAACCCTTTTGGGGCATGTCCTTCCCAAATGCACCGTGTATTTCGCGAAACACGTAAGGCAGGGGACGAGAGGGTGGATGGAAAGAAGGGACACTGGGGGGGAGTGAGGATGGAACACGAGAAAAAGTAGCAGAAAAGAGGGGCTAGGAACAGGAAAAACGCGGCAGAACCAAACGGACAGATCGGGCGGGTAGACCCTAACAGGCAGGCCCATGCGGCCATGTCGAACAGGTGGGTTGCTGAAGCGTGCGTCCTGCGGGAATCGCGACGAAGTCTCGAGCGGCAGCAAATCTCGCGAGAAAATGCAAAGCGAGAGCATGATTCCTGAGTGTCGGAGGCACGGCGCCTGAATCAAATGCGAGGAGGTCCCAAGCGGCAGCGCGATTCCTGAGCGTCGAAACCGAGACGCCCGAATACACTGCGAGGAAATAGCACGCGAGTGCGCGAGTCTTTGATACATTGCAAACAAGTCCTTGCGAGAGCGCGATTCCGCAATACATTCTTCAATAGATTGCAAGGAGGTGTCAGGCGGGGGCCGCTGCTGTTGTAAGCCATGGGCCAGGGGCGCAGCTTGAGCAGGAAAACTGTCCCACGCTAAAAAACAGCAGGCCCCGGGTGGGGCACTTCACTTCAAAATCCTTGTTACGCGAAAGCGCGGGTGCTGCATCATTCGCCAGGATTTGTCTGGCAAGAACGCGATTCCGATGTACAGTATGAATGAGTCCCCGGCGAGAACGCGAGTCCTAAACGGCGAAAGCGCGGGGCCTGAATAAATTGCGATGAAGTCGCACGCAAGAGCGCGATTCTTGGATGCATTGCAAAGAAGTCCCGCTTGCGTCACCCGGAAGCCTGGCTTTTTGGCCCTCTGAAAACAAGAAACAACTGCCCCCTCTCTCGTGACATCGCGGCCTCCCAGCCCATGCAGTTGCGGCCATCCGCAGGGCAGCCCCCCTTTTCATTAAACGGGCGCCAACCACGACCCAGGGGCGTGAGCCACCTGACCCCTGCTGTTAGGCGCGCGTGGGACGCATCGCTCGTGCCACCTGCGGATTCCAAAGCTCGCGCCAGTCGCTGGGGCCAAGCTACTGGATACGAACACGGACGCGGCAACAAAGTCATAACGCACCTGTGAACCCCCATTTCTTGGTAAAGCAACCATTGAACCTTTCCTGACTGTTGGGCCGGACACCAGAGCATACAGGTCAAAAGTGACAACACCAACAACAACAACAACAACAACAATCACTTTACCCGAACGCTCAGTGTTCTCACCAGTGCCAGGGTTTTCATGCGACGCCAGCCAATACCCCCACTTTGTGGGGGGGCAGTGCAAGCTCTACCAAATATCCACACGACTCTTCGCCACCACCCACACCCAGCTTCCCGCCCTATGACGTTCGGACACTTCACTTCGTGGCCTGCGGACGACCGTGGCTACTACACTGGCGTGGAGTACACACCCACAGAAGTTGTTAAGCCTACGTTCGTACACCCACAGAAGTTGTTAAGCCTTGTTAACCCACAGAAGAGCGTGCGAAAGTAGCTCGCGCGAGCTCATGTAACATAAATGTTGGAAAACCATTGTTTTTTTTTTTTTTTTGATTCGGACAGCGCGCGCGGGTGGAAATTTTGAAAAGTCGTGCAGCTGTTTTTCGAGGACCTACGGTGCGATTCGTGTGATTTTATGATGCGCGGTGGTAAAATTCTTAAGAACCCAATGGTTTTTGGAGATTTCGGCGTGCGCGCGCGAAGAAAAAACGAATGTGTCCCGCATGGTATTATTTGACAGGGATGATGGCCCTGGCAGGTGCGCAACCGTTGTCGCAGAAGTTCGAAAAAGTTGCTCGCAAAAGCCCGTTTGACAGAAATGTTTAAAAAGTGTTGGGTTTCCTACGAATCCGCAAGAGCGCGCGGGATGAGATTTTGACATTTTTTTTTGAAAAACCATTGGTTTTTTGATGTTTTTATGTTGAAATCGCTCCGAACACTAAGCTTTTGGAAGGATTTCGTCTTGCGCGCGCGAATGTCCACTTTACCTTATTTTTTGCAAGGGATTCTTGAAATTTGATTATATTAGAACAAGAAATGTCATTTTATAGTGTTTTTTGCAAGGGAAAGCGGGGGGGAACAAAACAACCGGATCTTGATCACATCGAATTACCTGAGGCTTCCTCACGAAAATGATGAAAATGTAGCTGCGGCCTAGGCGGCGCAGGGGGGGCGTGCACCAGGGGGCCCAACAATAATTATTCTTTAGAATTAATAATGTTCAACAACAACAACAACAACAA